TTGAGGAGGAGGAGGGAAGGGTACTGAAGGGAGGGTACACCCCTCCTCCTCCTCCTCCTTCTCCTCCACCTCCCCTCATTCTTTAATATGCTCCGGGGGGGTCACCTGACCTCAGGGGAAGGGGGTCACGTACCCTCGGGGGGGGGGGGGGGGTGTCGCGTGACTTCGGGGAGGGGGGGTCGGGGGGTCACGTGACCTCGGGGAGGGGGGCCACGTGACCTTGGGGGGTCAAATGGGGGTCACCCTGGGGGTCACGTGACCTTGAGGTGATCTTGGAAGTGGTCACGTGACCTTGAAAGGGGTCACGTGACCTTGGGGGTTACGTGACCTTGGGGGGTCATGTGGGGGTCACCTTGGGTCACGTGACCTTGAGATGACCTTGGAAGGGATCACGTGACCTTGGGTGACCTTGGGATGGGTCACGTGACCTTGGGGTGACCTCGGTTACGCCGACGGCGACGGCGACGGCGCTCAAGCCGGAAACGGGCATCTAAAGCGCGGGTCAAACAGACTCGGAATACGGAACCCGGGAGCCGGAACCCGTACTGATGCAATCACTTCCGGCTCCCGTATACGGGAGCTGACGTCACGGGTTGATTTGAACGACGTGCCCGGCGCGCGCCACGGGCCGCGTATATACGGGAGCTGACGTCACGGCGGCTCCCCAGGCAACCAATCAGCGGCTGTCGTCAAGCCGGGTCGTCGCCGGTGCGCTCCGTCTAGAGCGGCACCGGCGGCACTCGCTTTGTTTCGTGATGGCGTCGTCTCCGCAGGATCCTGGCTACGAAGCTCGAATTGCCTCACTTATGAACTTTTGTGTAGTGATGTGCGTCACAAATGCAAGAACTATCAACTGGCGTCGGCTGACTACTTTCGCGGCTGCGTGTGAGCAGTACCTACCGAGCGTGAAGAAAAAGAGGAAGCGAAAGGCCGTCCGCGACCTCCTGAAGCCTCGAAAAACGCTGGTATGCCACCATCGTGAGACAGATGTTCGAAGACCCCGACGGCCGGGAATTCTTCGAGTGCTTCCGAATATCACGAGCCAGGTAGGGTGTGCTGCTTTTTATTTTGGATTATTTTCATGTTGTGTATCAAGTGGCGTTCCACATGGGCCCGCGCGTCGCTCGCAGGAATACTCACATGGAGCGTGTGCTCCCTCAGTGAAAGCACGTTTACATCTTTTTTTAACGCGGCAGGATCACGACAGCAGCTTTCATAACAGTCACATGCTTGCCAAAGTTTACAGCGTCTGTGCTATAAAAAAATAGCAATGGCATGCACATGTGCAGCTCGTACGACACACTCTTTCGGTCCACTAAATCTGGTCACGGTGTTGTGCTCCTTTGAGTGCATGCATGACGGAAGCCCGTTGTGCTTCCTTGTCCTTTGTGCTAGCTAGGATGTGTGCTTACAAGCTGCTTGTGAGTGAATTCTGCACGAAAGCTCGCGCTGCAGAACCCAGGGATCTTGGGTTCCATCCCCACCCCTGCCCGTTTCGATCTGGATGAGCATCGTACCAGCAGTCGTTCGTGTTTCACTACTGCTTGACGGGTGTTAAAGACCCTAGGCTAGCGCTCGTACAGTACTGCCTGAAAACTGGTCTACAGCGCGTACCAGTGTCATTGACATTCTTAACCTCTTTTAAGTGTCGGATGTAGCTCGCACGCACAATAGTTGCAGCTAGACACGTAGCCAGGATTTTGTTTCGGGGGGGAGGAGATTTTGTCGGTCGCAGAGTGCCCGAGGCTGGTAAAACATTGTGTATAAAAAAAAAAAATGAACAATTGAGTTGCTTCATTAGAATTGTAGTGAACAAGCATGCCCTCAAAGCTGGAAGCTTAGCACATTTGTTTGTTAACAACATCCCACTCCCTTTCCGGTCTCTTTGCAGCCAGCAAGCCAACCACTGCCTGCCTCTACAAACGGCCACTCATATTTGCATTGAAGATGCCGTTTCATCGGGCTGCAACCACCTCCCGTGTCTCCGAAACCGTGTCAATAAATTATTAAAAGCAGTATCGAGTTCTTTCACTTGTCCCGGTCCTTGTGGTCGCTACGATACCTGTCGTAGATCCAGGGGTACCGCTGAACAAGCTGAACTAATTCATAGGCTTTCTCGGGTACGTCAAACACAGCGGCACACTTCTTTCCAGCTTGAGCTGCTTTCCTCGCGTCGGACACGGGCGGGAAGTTCATCGCTGGAGCTTTTCTTGCAAGCAAGCACGGAGCGAAAGGCATTCGCACTCGGAACCACGTGAACGCCGGTGGCAAGGAGGGCGGAGGAGGGAAGCGCGTCGCGCTGATTGGCCGCGGAGAAAATTCGGATACCTACGTCACGACCCGGGAAGGAGAAAGTTGAAAAATTTTCAACTCTTCAATCTGGGAGCCGGAAGCCGTAATTACGTCACCACCCCTACGGAGGGAGCGCTGACGTCACTACGGGTTCCGGCTCCCGTCTCTGCATTCCGGGTCGGTTTGAACCGGGCTTAAGAGCTGCGCTCTAAAAAAGTTGATCGAGTTCAAGTGGTTGATTATGCTCCAAAAGTTTTGATTGGACGCTCGTTAAGGATATAGGACGAAAATTGGATGTAAGTGGTCGGTTCCCATGTTTATGAACTAATACTATTTTCCCAAGTTTCCCATGTTTTGGAGAGCGGCCACAAGAGAGGGATTGCAAGAACATTAATGAAAGATATGAACCGGCGATTACATCGATGTTCTTGACGAATTTGGAGTTGATATTATCTGACGCTGCTTCCGATGAAAGCTTCAGCTTGTTAATCAGCGTAGTTATTCCGTGAGATAATATCGTTACAGGCGGCATGATATGGCTATATACCTGAAGAGAAGTAGGCAGATTGTGAAGGCCTTCAGTCGGGAGAATACAGTGACAAAGAAGTCGTTTAGGGCCGTTGCACATTTATTGTTGATGATTGGGTCGTTACTGCTGTCGGTTAGTTCCAGTGATCGCGATTGACATTTTGGCGATAGAAGTTGCCAAAATCGAGATGGATTAGACCGAAGGATAGAGGGCATGTCATCACATAAGAATTTTAACTTGGCACGTTTGATATTTGCAGTATATTCTTTTGAAATTATTCCATGAGCATCCCAATGTTCGGTAAGCCCGGTTTGTTTAGCTTTTCGATAGAGGCGTTTTTTTTTTGTTATTTAGCGACTCTAGAGTATTATTAAACCAGGGGTGGTTCCTGTCTGATATAACGCAGACAGTCGGAATAAATATGTTGATGAAATCGTTGAGCTTAGTTCGGAATATGCTCCAGTTATCTTCAATAGTTGTGGAACCACATTTTCTACTAAAGTCATGGTGATAGGCCTGCAATGCATGATTACTGGATGTGAAGTCTCCACTCTTATAGTCTTTAATAGACGTTTGTGTAGGCACTTTTTTGTTAATGGGAAGCGACAATATTGTGTGTAGCATTTGATGATCGCTTACCCTGGCGAATGAATGATGTTCTGGATATGTTCTGGGGTGGTAGAAAATAAAACATCGAGTGTGTTGTCGAGTCTCGTTGGTTGCATGATAACTTGAGTGAACGTAAAATCAAGAGTTAGATAGAGAAATTTTCTAGATTCATTTTCTGTAGATTATTTTGCGACTGTTACTTCTGATCCATTTGATATTAGGGAAGTTAAAATCATCGAAAAGGAAGAATGACGCTTTACGGCGACTGTTTCTAAGCTCGTCGAGCGCGTTGCGCAGATTACCAGTAAAGTCATTGTCGCAGTCGGGTGCTCTGTAGCAGATTCCGATTATTATTTAGAAAACGGGTGATGTGACGCATACCCACATTAGCTCAAGATTAGTATCGCGGATGATGCAGAAGGGGATATATTATCTTTTATGGCAACTACGACGCTACCGCCCATTCTTAAAGGGATGCTGAGCCGAAATTTCGATTCCACAAAACACGCGGTAAAAGCGTGCAACGGGATGCTACAAACACCAAAACATCACTCATACAGCGATATCTCGAACGGATGACCGTATTTTTAAGAAAAGGAGGCGCATTTGACCGAGGTGATGTCGTCATGTTTCTCCGAGAAGGAGAGGGAACGGCCTCGCGGCTTCTCCGCCTCGCGGCCTTGAGGGAGCGAAGCGAAGAGAGGTAGAAACTCGGTATATTGACGTCACGCGCGTCGCCGGCCTGGTTCAATCTCGACCTCTTTTTTTAAAAATATGGCCATCCATTCGAGATATCGCCTTACGAGTAGTGTTGTAGGGATTGTAGCGTCCAGCCTACATTTCCTGCATTGTTTTTTCTGAAATCCAAATTTCGGTTCAGCATCCCTTTAAGCGCCGCTCATGACAATAGATATTGTAGTTCATGTGGGGTGGAAATATTTCAGTTTCATGTATGTGTTCAGTTAACCAGGTTTCTGTGAGGATGATAATATCGGCTGCGCTATCGTGAATGATAGCGCTCAGCTCAGCAGAATTATACACAAGGCGGTAGCGGAGCACGGGGAAGCGGAGGTGAAGAGGAGACTCGACGCCAAATACCTCCCGGTTTCCCCAAAGGAAAAGCACCCAGAATACCAGGGGGCAGAGAACATCGAGGTTGACCAAGACATCGAGGAATGGGAGGTCCGAAATGCGATGCAAGACCTGAACAGGCGTTCGGCGTCGGGCCCGGACCGCGTCAGCAACAAAGCGCTCATAAACCTGAACGACGCGGCCGTGACGGCACTGACGGCGTACTTCAATAAATGCTGCAGGGCCGGCAAGCTACCACGCCAGTGGAAGGAAGCCAAAACCATCCTCATTCCGAAACCAGGCAAGTCGCCCGACATCGAGAATCTACGCCCAATATCCTTAACATCGTGCGTGGGTAAACTGCTAGAGCACATCTTAATGACCAGATGGCAACAGTACCTCGAAGAGGCAGAGCTCTACCCGGATTCTCTCGTAGGCTTTCGAAGCAAGCTTGGAACGCAAGACGCCATGCTCCAACTCAAGAAGGAGATAGTAGACTACGAAACTCACACCAGCGACAACAGGGCAATACTGGGCCTGGACCTGCAGAGCGCCTTCGACAAAGTCCGGCACTCTGCGATCCTCGCCCAAGTGTCGCACCTGAACATGGGACAGAGATCTTACAATTACATTCGGGATTTCCTGACCGACCGCACGACTCACATCTGCGCCGGGGATCTCCAACTACCAGAGAAAACGCTCGGCAGCGAGGGGACACCACAAGGCGCGGTAATCTCTCCGCTGCTCTTCAACTTGGTCATGATCGAAGTCGCCAACCGGCTGCGGAGCGTCGATGGGGTACGCCACACGGTTTATGCCGACGATGTGACGCTGTGGGTCACCGGCGGCAGCGACGGCCACATAGAGAATACACTACAAGAAGCAGTAAAAACGATAGAGGACCAACTGAAGGGATCGGGGCTGGTGTGTTCCCCCGCAAAGTCGGAGCTGATGGTGATTCCACCCAGGGGAGCGAGCCGCAAGAAGCAAACTATCCGAGACTGCGATAAAATCCGCATACGAACGCAAGGGGGGCACATCATCCCCGAGGTAGCCAAGATTAGAGTGCTGGGCATGATCATCGAACGCAGCAAAGTCAACGGGGCAACGGTCTCCAAGCTCGAAGCTAAGACCGGCACGGCACTGCGTCTCATACGCCGCGTCGCCAATAGAAGAAGCGGGATGAAGGAAGCAAGGCTCGTCAGACTGATTCAAGCCTTCGTGATGAGCCATATCACCTACGTCGCCGCCTTCCATAATTGGCGGCAGTGCGAGCGGAAGAAGATCGACGCGATGATCCGCAAAGCTTACAAATCAGCATTAGGACTCCTAGGATGCACGAGCACGCAGAAGCTCGAAGCCCTGGGACTCCACAATAGCCTGGAAGAGATCGCCGAGGCACAGCAGACGGCGCAGCTCACCAGACTGTCGGGAACCAGGACCGGCAGATCTATCCTCAAACAACTAGGCATCGGAGCCAAGGAAGACGACACCGGATGCAGGAGCAGATACCGCGGGAGCTGGGCAAGCACATCGTCGTGAGCCCAATCCCGCGAAACATGACTCCCACATTCCATCAAGAAAGAAGAGAGGCGAGAGCCAAGGCGCTGATCGCGCTACACGCCGGCGATGAGGGAGCCGTGTTCGTGGACGCGGCCAGTTACAAGAACATCGGCGACGCCTTCAGCGTCAGCGTGATCGGAGCCAAAACGGGTGAGATCAGGATGGCGGCCAGCGTGCGGACCACTGTGCCCAGCCAGGCAGAAGAAGTGGCGGTAGCCCTCGCCATCGCGGACCCCAGAACGAAGACGGTGTTGTGCGACTCGCGAACGGCAGTGCGCAACTTTGCGAAACAGCGAGTGTGCAGTGCGGCAGCGCGCATCCTGCGAAAGGCCGAAGTCAACGGAGTCATCACCAGTGCGGTGATAAAGTGGTTTCCCGCCCACGCGGGCGCGGAAGTGGCGGGCTCGCTGGGGCTCACCAACCACAACGAGACGGCCAACTCCGTGGCGCGTGGACTCGCCGGCCGCGCCCCGGTAACGGCGGCCGCCGACGTGGTGGATCGCCCCGAGAAGGACACCATGGACGCTTACAACGAGGTAACCCTGTGGTACCGGTTAGCCAGAAGAACGATGGCCCTGCCCCACCCCCGTCTGACGCGGGAGGAGGCGGTGGTATTCCGCCAGTTACAGACTAACTCCGTGATAACGCCAGTGTTAGCAAAGCACCTGTGGCCGGAGGTATACGTAACAGACTTATGCAGACTGTGCGGGAAGGAAAGGGTCACGTTGGCCCACATCCTGGAAGACTGCGAATGCGCGAACGCGGACAACAGTGCAGACGTTCTCCCGCCCCTCATGGAGGAGGCGAAGAGATCCGAAGACTACGACGTCCAACACACGGCCGTCCAGCAGATCCTAGCGGCACTCGAGAAGCAGCGACCGGACGGGATGGAAGCAGAAAGGGTTAACCCGAGTACGCTGAAGCCCGCCGCGAGCGGCTCTCCCCGCTAAGAAGACGTCCGGCCACGTCGCCCCAAGAACCCACCTGAGAGGGTGGGATGATAGGGGTTACTGCAGGAGACCCATTAAAGTTGCTCTCTCTCTCTCTCTCTCTCGTGAATGAGGCCGTCTCGGTCATCCCGCTTGGGCATGACGCTACGTATATTAGTGAAACGGACAGAGAACTGCAACCGCTTTTCATATTTCTGTTTTATTGCGGTGGTGGTGCAGTTTTTCCGGGTAATGCATAGTTAGCTGCGCGATTCAATGACTGAATCTGAGTTGGTGTCGCATATATAGCATAAGTTGCCTACATAGAGCCTATCCAGCCGTAGTTTGAAGGGACATCTCTTTGGTTTGACGTACTGGAGAAGATTGTGGCGCGCTCATCTCGTTGCCGGCGGGTAGTCTTCACAAATCAAGAAGTTAGTTCCCTTCAATTTCGGCTCGTATGCCATGAGTAATTCCTTGTCCTTGAATCGGCTGAGCTGAACATTTATTGGACGGTTTCTGTTCGTTGCGAACTTGCCCAAGCGATGTGCCCGTTCAATGTTATTTGCATCAAGGGTGAAACCTAGCTGCCTTGTGCAGAATGCTATCAACCTTGTTTCAGATTGTTTTCAATTTTCTTCTGGTGAATCATCAATCCCCATGAAGAGCAAATTGTTTCTGCGCAGTCGGTTGCTTGCATCTTCACTAGAGGCCTGAAGGGCTGCGATTTCGGTTGCAAGTGCTTTTGTGACCAGGGCTGGTTCAACATTGAGGGGGTCTGCCTTGTTATTCTTTAATGCTACTAGTCTAGCCTTGAGCTCATCTATGGCTTTATCTGCTACTGACTGCCCCTCTTTTACGGACTTTATTTCGGCGAGTATGTTTGATTGTTGTTTGACAATCAAACATACTCACCGAACGTGAACGATGGCAAGAATATCTTCTAAGGTAGGTCCGGGGTTCGCTTCAACATGTCCGGACAAGAGTAGAAGAATTTGTGATAGAAAAACATTGGCACACATTTCACGGCACAAGAACATACAACTGCGCCATTTCAAGTCGTAGGGGCACGACACTGCGAGCAAACAATAATCACTGCTTCTATAGGCATAAGCTCGATCGAGGTAACTAACCTGAACCAGAAGCAGGGGTGAATTCATCGTGTCCTTCGCGATGTCGTGCCCCGTCGGGTAGGCGTGAAATGGATGGTTATATAGGGCGTGCACACAGTCCTTGTTGCGTTGTGGCGAAGATCCAGGTTGCCAACCGCAATGGTTGACTTGCTGCACTTTTGGCCAGATCCGCGATGGAGTGGGTGTTTGGCCGCGGATGGTCTGTCCGTAAATCCGATATCTTCAACGGCTGGTGGTTGTGGCATGAGTCAGCCAGGCCGACGGCGAGTGACAGGACCTGTGTCAGAAGCAGGGGTGAATTCATCGTGTCGTTCGCGATGTCGCGCCCCTCGTAAGCGGGAGCCTTCCAGGTAAGGATCCATAAAAGCGTGACGTAAACCAACGAACTCGCTGAAGGTGTCAGTGATTGTGACGGATGAAGCAGCCTCGGAGCTTAAGAGGGTGATGACTGAGGCTTTTCTCTGCCGGAAGCCAGGCGACGGGGCGTCAGGAACACGGTGGTCAGGAGAGTTCCCCATGGCGAGATTTCCCAGGAGCCAGCACCTGTGTGGCGGCTTCGGGGCTGGGAACAAAAAGCTGCTTCCGCAGTCATGAAAGCGACAAACGACAGCAGTGCCATGACGATGCCAAACATTTCAGTAATTCGGGACAGTGAACGCTTACTTCATCTCTTAGCAGATGTGTGCAGACAGCTAAAAACAATAAAGTCTACCTGTTAAAAATCAAATAACGAAAAGTTCTCCGAGATATATTAAGATAAGTAAGATTTATTATCCCCAAAAAATGGTAATCATACTTTAAATATTTCTGTTGGTTCCTGGCCAAAACAAAAATTTGATTAACTCCACTGACACCCATAAAACTCTTCCTCCCGTTTTTAGTTCTATCAAATTATGAAAAAAACATTAAATATTTCACAAACTTCCTGGTGAGATAGAAAGTGGAGACTGCACTCTATCAAATTTCGTATGCATCTGACCTAAACCTGAGCTCTCCTAGATTAACGATAATTATTCTTGTAGAAGGGAAACCAGGGTGACAAAGTACAAACAGAAATCACCAAATAAAGCAAGGTTACTGGTGCGCGACCGAAAAAGTCCAGCTCGCTTGCACCTATGTATTAATTGCATTATCATCATCTCCTAGGTTTTCTGAGAGAAAATTAAATCTTCATCTCTTGCCCTACAAATATATCTTTGTAGCATGACGATTGCTACAGGAAAGAGTACTTTACAATATTGAAGTTACATTTACTTGATTGTTTCGCGACTTTTTTATTTCATTTTATTTATCGATACTGCAATACCTAGCTTCACTTTTACCAAGTGGGTACAGTGCTGAATGTAAAACAAGCTGGCGAAACACAAACATTGCAAACAAGTTTCAGAAAACCAAATATATTCATACCGTAATGAAGCTAACAGACCGATCTCACCAAGCGTTTGGCGAACGCGTGACGCCACCATAACTTTAATTCAGAGTAGAAATACGGCAGTTCTCGAGACTCTTTTTACCGTCTCCTGCACTGCACGCACGGTGCTTCAACGAGGTTATCCCACGTGCCAAAAAAGTAAAGTTCCCTCGATGGATTGCGGCAGCGTCGGCGTAACGATACGGGCTGGTGATATCAGTCTATTTAGATGGGAGGCGAATAATGACAACACTGATCTCCACTATAGGGGGCTGGATGGCGCATTCAGCAGACAGATATGAAGCCAGCGGAAGTAAGCGGCTTGTTCCGGAAGTAAGCGCTTGACAGGCTTTATAACTCCTCCGAGGGCTGAATCAAACAGCGTTCAGGGCGCTGGAATTTTTCTTGTTGTCCCAAGGGAGCCAGCTTGTTGCGGAGTGAGAGCGCAAGCGGCCCCGAGAAGTCTCTTGTGAAGCCATTCGGTGTGAACATTTTGATATTCTAGTAGATCAAGTGTGCGTATCTCCCACGCTCAGATGCCTTATTCTCAGGGTTTAATTCAGAAACGGAGTAAGAAAACCTAATCAAAGACACAAAAAGCATCGACCGAAATATCGTCTGAATGCACTAGGAAGCCCAGCACTCGCGCGACTTCCGGAACAAGCATCAAACTTCCGGCGGCTTCACTTGTGCCAGGCTCGGACAGCAAATATATGCGCCATCCAGCCCCCTATAGTGGAGATGAGGGAATGACAACGAAGGCTGCCTTACAATAGGGACTTTAAGCAAACCCCCCAAAGGTCGGTTACACTCCAATATTGAGCGTAGTAAACGTGGCGGAGCGCAGCTCACACGGATTGGTCGCAGATACAAAGTTCTCGCCGCCGGCCACTGAAAGACGCGCCTTTTGCGCTACGTTGCATTCTATGCGCTCAACGTCGGAGTATAAAGGAGCCCTTACCGTGTTCCCCGTACCGCACTACCAAAGTCTTTGAAGCATGCTTCAAAGGCTCCGGTCCTGCGGTACACGGAACACGGTAACAGTCTGCTGAAAGTCCCCACTGTTAGTAAGGCTATTCCGGTCATCTACTGTTCGCGAAAAAAAGGTGATACATAAAGAAGCTATAATATCTAGTCAAGGTGTTGTACTACACATTTCCCCAGGAACTTTGCAAGGTGAGCCCTAATTGTTGAGATAAAAGGCGCTGCACAGGACTACTTTGAGGCAATCAATTTCCAAAAAAACGTAAATCTCTTTTTTTTTCTTTTTTTTTTGGGGGGGGGGGTGCGGCAGGGCGTGCGTTTTTGCCAGAATCCTGCAGCTTTCAACCTATATGGCTTAAAATTTTGTGAAGTGTACGAAAACTCAGTGGTTTACTACACGATTTCCCGGGGAACTTTGAGCGATCGTTCTGGTTGTATAAAGAGGCACTCGTTCTAAGAGAGCAAACCCTGGAGTATTTTGGAAAAGTGCATCTCCACGAGGAACCTGCACCATGGAACCTATATTGTTTAAAATTATTTATTCAACTACTGAAAGAGTTCTACTACATGATTCCCCTGGAGCTCTACGAGATACGTCTCAGTTGTTCAAATAAAAAAACACTGAATGTGGCGGCTTCGGTAGGACCACATTCCAAAAGTGCAAACCCTCGAATATCTTGGGGAAGTGACCCTCGACCAGAAACCTGCGGCGTGCAACCTATATGGCTTAAATTTTTTAAAGAATCTATTCAAATATATGTACTAAATGTCTCCCCCAGAGCTTTGCAATATTCGCCCAGGTTCTTGAGATAAGAGTCGCTGAATGTGGCTATTTTGAAAGAATCACGCTCCCCGACCAGATTGGGTGGGAGTGCGCTGCTGCAAGAAACCTGCTACATGCAACCCCTATGGCTTAAATTATTCAAAAATCTACTCAGAAACTTTGATTTCAGGAGAACTTTGCGAGATTCGCCCTGATTTTCGACATAAGAGGCGCCAAATGTCGCTGCTTCGAAAGAATCACGTTTAGAAAGAGCAAACCTACAATTTCTTAGGAACTGCGTCTCCGCCAGGAATTTAGAGGTTTCAACGTATGCGGCCTTCAAAAATTGAAGTATGTGGCCAAATAAATGTACTACGTGTTTTGCAGGAAACTTCACAGGACCGGCCCAGGTGGTTGAAGAGGTGCTGCAGCTGGCCACTTCGACTGAATCCCTCTTCGAATCAGCGAACCGGCAAGATTTTTCAAAAACCACGCTTGTTCTTGGAACCTACATTGAAATCAATATTTGCGTCTTAAAAAGTTGTAAATATATGACAAATATTTTAACTGCACGAGTTATTGTGAACTCGGCTACATTTGACATGGGCGTTGAGATACGAGCCACTAAATTGGGCTTATTTTACAAATCCTAAGCAGAAAGAGAAAATGGCGAGTTTTTTTTAACCATGTACCGTCTAAACGGAAAACGGCCTAAAGCAATCTTCATTTATATTGTGTTTATTTTAATGTAAAATAAATGAAACGAAAAGGAAGACTCAAGACTCGACGTGTCCAACATATAACGGCATATTCTT